CCAAATAAGCTTCAGCATCTTAGTTTACTAGCACAACACCTGGGGAGGCCAGGGTGGGGGCAGGATTGACATCAGTAGCATCACAAATATTTTTGATTGTGTCAAGCAGGATTATAAAATGAAATATGGAGAATGTAAAAAACAATCCATTGGATGATTTTTTAAAGATTAGTTATTTGTGCAAAATAGACAGGAGCCCTACTGTGCTCCTGGATTTAGCTGTGACACTGTCTTGAGGGTGGTGAAGGGTGCAAGACCATGGCAGCAGGATGCTGCAGGGACCCTGGCTCCCCTCAGGGCTGCCATGTGGGTGTCTGCTGTCCTAGTTCAGCCTCACAGCTCCATCATGCGCAGGAACGAGGCTGGGCCAGGGGGGGTGCACAGCAGCCCAGGGTAGAGGTGGTCTTTGATTCAGGTAATAGCCTATGGCTCCCCCGTTCAGCAAGCTCCCTCCCAGCAGGGAGACCCGGGGCGAGGGGTAGGGGGTCTTATTTCTGCATACCCTGTGCCTGCCCCTGGGCTCATGAACTTAAAGTTCACCCCCAAATGAGCTAGAGAGAACTTAAGCGACAACTTGAATCACATACAGCGAGGCAGGGATGCAGGAGCATGTGAAAGCAGAGCAGGGGATCTGTATGATGTTCCATTCTTAAACAAGGTACAAATCCACCTGTCTGTTTTCCAAAACCACATCATCACCCAGGATGGGCAGGTGACGGGTGGGAAGCCATGGGGAGCAGGAGGAAGTGGCTGGGCCAGCTGGGCCAGAGACAGAGAGGACCCTGGACAATGGCTGTTGCTATGACACTGGGACACAGTGGCCATGCCAGGAGCCAGTCACTTCTATCAGTGACCCCAGAGCGGGACCCAGCCTGTGCGATGAGTGTGACCTAGAAAGCTGGACCTGTGACCAAGTGAGGGGGTTCGTGAGTTGAGGACAGAGAAGGGAAGGAGAGCCCGGTGCATGAGGACATGGCGGTCAGAAGGAAAATTCAGCAGCCCTCTGCAGTCTTCCCTCCCTGAGCGCAGTTTGATTTTACCATTTGGTGTAGTAAAACAGTGCTCATTTTACCAGGTTTCATGATGGCTGCTCCGGAATGTGAGTCATTCCAGAAAGACCTACATGCCACAATAATGCATTAGCTGGTCACAGGCTGGGCTATATGAGGAATGATTTCCTGAGTTTGAAAGCAGGTTCAAGAGTTGGGGGCACAGTGAGCCGTGGCTCTGGACCAGGCACCAATAACATGCACAGTGAGGGAGGGGAGTGGCCCTGAGAGCTGGGCCAGTGTACCTTGGCCACCTACTCGCTGGCTCACCACCCCAAAGCAGCTGGCATGTCTCAGCTGACCCCACAGGGCTGTAATTATTCCTGTAAGCCACTGAAAATCCTTTTGGAAAGAGGGAAGAATGTCAATACGCAATCACCTTCCAACAGTCACTCTCATCCTAACCTCGTCTCCTTGTTGAGATGTGCAGGGTTGTAAAGGGGAGACACTCTTGTGCACCAGGTATCGTATGTCCAAGGAGTTATGTGCAGCACAGCATGAGGACTGGCCAGGAGCAAGACCGGGCAGAAGGCAGAGGCCTTGGATGCATGGACCAGTGCCTCATCTCCACTGGTGCAGGACACTGGTCCCTGGGAAGACCAAGATGTGGCTTCTATTTCAGCAACCAGAGGCGGATTAAAGACTTGTGTTGGTTTACGTGATGTGGAAGACGATGAGTGAATAGATGAGATGGGGACAAAGTGGGGTGCCCAAGTGTCCACTCTCAGAAGACACCTTAAGACCAAGGTTATTACTAGGGAAGTTGGGTATCAACAGCTCCCCCCACCTTTTCCCTCAGGTTTTACCAGTATTGCAAAATTAGGAAAGGTAAAAAAAAAAAAAATGCCTTAAAATCTCTTCTTGACCTGTGGGGCTGTAATAAAGCAGCAAGAAGTCCCCCTGAAATATAAGTGAGGGGCATTTCCTCTACCATGCAGGGGAACCACATGGGAGGTCACGAGAAACTATAAAGAGCAGGATGATGGTGTTAACTCCTCCTAGCTGCCCAGATTGGCCTGGCGCCATTCCAGAGA